AGAGTCACCATGGTCAGGAATGCCATAGTCAGAGACACCATGGTTAGAGACACCATGGTTAGAGACACCGTGGTTACAGATACCATGGTCAGAGACCCCATGGTTAGAGACCCCATGGTCAGAGACACCATGGTTAGAGACCCCATGTTTAGAGACACCGTAGTCAGAGACACCATAGTCAGAGACACCATGGTTAGAGACACCATGGTCAGAGACACCATGGTTACAGATACCGTAGTCAGAGACACCATGGACAGAGACACCATGGTTACAGATACCATGGTTACAGATACCACTTTCAGAGTCACCATGGTCAGGAATGCCATAGTCAGAGACACCATGGTTAGAGACACCATGGTTAGAGACACCATGGTTACAGATACCATGGTCAGAGACACCATGGTTACAGATACCATGGTCAGAGACACCATGATCAGAGACACCATGATCAGGAACGTCATAGTCAGAGACACCATGGGTAGAGACACCGTGGTCAGAGGCACCGTGGTCAGAGACACCATGGTTTAGAGACACCATGGTCAGAGACACCATGGTTAGAGACACCATGGTCAGAGACACCATGGTCAGAGACACCATGATCAGAGACACCATGGTCAGAGACACCATGGTTAGAGACACCATGGTCAGAGACACCATGGTTAGAGACACCGTGGTTAACCAGTGGAGCAAACACAGATCCAAACCCATCATTTTGCCTATCCATTCATAAAACCTTCCAACCATAAATCAATCCATCCATCCATCCATCCATCCATCCATCCATCCATCCATCCATACATACATCCGTCCATACATACATTAAACCTGACCTTTATTATAGTATCTAGCCAATTAAAAATAAATATTTCTGCTTTTACATGAACTGATATAAACATGAAAAAGGTGCAGTAATCCTGACTGTTGTCAGTTCTTTTCTTAAAATATGCACAACAGTCAAGACAAACCAGTCTGAATACTGGGATAAACCAGAACGTAAGCAGTGCTTAGCAATGTGGAATATGTACTTCAGTGCCATCAGGCTATGTCATTTGATGAGAAAATCTGTTGAGCTTATATGGACCAGTTTGAAAAGGGTTTAACAGTAAAGGTCACGGGATCTTCTCAATGGCATCCAGAATAATCCTTACTGAAGTTGCTACGTAGAAATCATTTAAGCTGGAATGACTTACAGAGGCAGAGAGAAACAATGGTGTAGCTCTGCAGCCACTCAGGTGAATAAAAAAGCTGCATGTAGTCAGGAAAGAAGGACATCCACAAAACAACAAACACATCACTTTGTATGAGAATTTCTCATTTTGCATTTAGATTTTTGGTTGAATTTCTGAATCAAGTCCACTGATTTGATGGTTTGACTGCTGTGTGCTTTATTGTCATAATCAGGGATGCTTCCAGAACCATTTCAATGGGTCATCCAGTCATAGTGTCCAACACAAAACTAAGACAAAACAACAGGATGTTGATTTGTATGTTGTAAATTACATCTGTAAAAAAAAAGAAAATCTTAATCCTCACTTGGACTTCATAAAATAAACCTGATAGGTCGTAAGTCGATGTTTTCAACATAAATCAGTTGATTTGATATGTTAGAATATGCTTTTTCAGGCGTAGAGAAATCTAGTGCGCATTCTTTTAAAAAATACATCTTCAGATTTATGACTTTAACTATTTAATATGTCACCTTGGTATTACTGATGGGTAGAGCCAGGAGTGAAGGCAGAAAATCAAAACCAGGCACCAAGACAAAACCTAAAGCATTTAAATAAAAAAATAAAAAAATAAAGCTGCATTATCAATAAATATATAGACTCCTCCTCTAAGAATGCATGCATAAAAAGATTATGCATATATTTATTTTCCTCTGTTCATAAAGGCTTGAATAAATTGTGTTCTTGTGTTTGTGAATTTAATACAGCAAAAACCAAAACTGCATCTTTGTACTGTTCACTCATAAATAGTGATCTTCTACTGTAAATTAAAAGCTAGTGGCTTTCCCTGTTTTCATAAGTACTATTGTTATTATTATTATTGTTAAAAGTACAACCCAGTTAACATACACCAGTTCATAGCCAGTAAGCTCCCAGGTTCAAAAAGCTTCAACCGCTAAGATAAAAAAAAAAACTGTTTCACTCTTACGTCCTCCCAACTTCTCTGCATCTATTTCTCTTTCTCTCCTCCTCCTGCATCCTTTTTTCTCCCTCCTTTTTCTTTTCCTCTTTCAGCATTTATCCAACCCTTCAGCTCGCCCCTCCATCATCTTTATTCCACTTTCCGTTTTTCTTGCACCTTGGTTTTTTAGTACATTTACTTTATTATCTTTTAAACTTTTAGATAAATGCAGTAACAAAGTGATTACCCAACTAGAACCTCATAAAAATACGTTGCATGATTTGCAATAGATTCATATTTATGCATCAACTTCAAACTTACTTAGATTAATACTGCATCTCATTCTGTTTTTTTTATCTATTAGTAATAATGCCGTTAAAGATTGTAATTTAAAAAACAATTCACTATATAAAACAATACGAATCAAATACATCCTAATTGCTGTAATTGATTGGCAGCTGCCTACACTGACCGTCTGTGTCAAAATGTTTCCAGATGTCGATGAACTGCGCCGCGGTGAGCTCGGCCAGGTGCAGGTGGGGCAGCTGCTCCGCCTGAGTTGCCATCTCTGCGGGTTCTCCCTCCTTTGGGTGGTCTGTGGTACTTAGAGGTAAACTTTTCCCGGTGCAGAGCTCCTCAGATCTGTGAGCTGCTCCTCCTCAGCCCGAGCTTTTTAACCACCCGCTGGCAGAGCGCGCTTCTCCTGCCCGCCACACGGGGGCGCAGCAGCCAAGACGGCGAGGAAGAGGACAGGAGGCGGCAAAATGCGCTCCTATTGCGTTTTTTATTTTTTTTATTTCAACCTATCATGGTGCTCCTTTTAAAAGAAAATTAGATTAAGCATTTTAATGCAGAGGGTCTAAAAGGATCAACACTGACATCCCTCGTCTCTCTGCACTGGGATGAATCTGAAACTTAAAATTAATGAAATTTTATGACTCTGGAATATTCCTGCAAGTTATGTTTGAAATACTTAACTACGACATTAAGGCTATTGTAAAGAGAAAACAAAAAGAGTATATTTGCGAGGAAAAAAACTTTCAATAAATTTTTGACTCAGCAATTTACAAGTCTTTGCGAAAGATTAAGTTAAAATGTCTGACTTTGTTTTCTAACTAATTTTCTACTTTTTGAAATCAGAAACTTCCTCGTTATTTCTAGAAAATTCCTGAGCTTAATCTCAAAATTTCTGTTTTTTGTTTGTTTGTTATATATATATATATATATATATATATATATATATATATATATATATATATATATATATATATATATATATATATATATATATATTTTACATGCTAATTTTAAACTCTAAATGAATGAAATATATAAATTGCACATCTCTTATTTTAGGGAACATCTGTAGGAGGAAAAGTTTTGAATAGAAAGTTTATTGATGTGCATGGCATGCTCCTGTTGGTGCTGCAAATCGTCATAAATCACTCCCGCTGAGTTGGAGTACATCTGAGATAAATAACCCTCCCTCCATTCTTTCATTGTGCTTTTATCTTCTTCCTCTCTCCGCTCTCAGTCTTATCTCAGCCTCAAACTACAGCCAAAAGCCAAGAGCTTCTGAATGGCCTCAAAATCAGCAAATCTTTTCTGGTCGTTTTTTCTGGAGGATTTTTTCCTTGTCTAATCTTTCCAGTTTCCAGAGCTGCTTCCCTCTCTGTTGTTCGGAGCGGACCAGGCGAAGATGGATGCTGCGAAGGAGGGAGGAGGCAATAAGACGGAGGAGATGATGCATGTCTGCAGAGCTTTGCATTGCTGATCAGAGAGGTGTGGAAAAAACTGGAGGAAAGAGTTCAAGACAGCAATTGGCCACGTAAAACACAAACAGTACAGCAATGCAGCCTGATTCACTTCCTGCCTACAGATTTCTTATGTTTTGGGGGAGTTTTGTCACACGTAATAGTTTCAGATAATTAAAGGTGCAGCATGTAGCTTTAATAAAAGTATATGTTTTTTACATATTTGTTATGACAGATTGTTGTGAAACAGAAGATCTGTGAAAAGATGAAACTCTTCCGTGCGCTGCTACTAATACCTGCACTACTCCTAACCAAAAACAATCAGAGCCAGGAGGAGGGTCTTAGTGCTGTCAATCAGTCTTATGTACTCGCTGCTAAATGCGCTAATGGCTCAGAAACAACTTACCATTCCAGAAAAACTGTCCATGTACAGACTAAGTAGCCTGGGTATTCACAACAGGCTAGCTTCAGCGTACCAGAGAGCAAAGTGGGAGGGTGGGATGTACAGCGCCACACAGAGTGGTGATTGACAGCGCTAAGACCCTCCTCCTGGCTCTGATTACTTGTTTCTAGTTAGCACTGGGAGTACTGGATGAAGGCAGAAGAGCTAGACTTTTTCACTGATGATCTGTCTCATACCCTATCATGACATAGTGACAGTTTCAACAAATATGTAAAAAAAAATATATATATATTATAAAAGTCACATACTGCCAATTTAAACACATTTTGAAGTCAGACAAAGATAAAATGTGATTAAATATCAAAAGCGGGTTAGGACAGCTTTGGATAAGCATGCTGTTTCGAATTGAAGGAGAAAAGTCATAAAAAGTAATGTGTGAATAAGTATTCCCCTGATAGCCATCCTTACTGCTGTGCTAAAGATAACTTACCTGCTTTGTAAGCAATTTTGCAAAGTATGTAACACTAAATAAGAATTTATCTTATTATATTTATAATATATAATAATATCTTTCAGGACTTTCTTGTAGAGTAGATTGTGGTTTGACAAAGTGAAGCTTTTGCTCCGACTTTCGCTCAGGTTCTCAGGATGGATGGATGATTTCTGAGCTGCTGATGACAAGAAGAGAAAGTCAAACCTCTTATTGAACCTGTCAGATGAACAACTGAACAACCTGAATGTGAGCATGAATATTTAACCTCTTAAGAAGTAATAAAAAAAAAAAAACAGACCAGTTCAAATATCAAGCCAGTCACAACCATATTTCCATATTATGAATTTCAATTCGGTCTGTTGTGTTAGCTTTGCATGTCAGACGCGCTTTTCATGTAGATTATAGATAATGGTGCAATCCAGCTAATGGTGTGTTAACAACTTCATGAAATTTAGATTAGTTAAAGTGGCATAATGCTCATACTCAACCAGCAGAGTGGAAATCAGGTGATGAAATGTTGCAGACGCCCAGGAGTTTAAGAAGCTTTTAGCTTGACTGAGATGTAATTCTGCTAATGTAGCAATAACGCAGCATTTTTGGTTTCTGTGTAGAATAATTCAGGGGTCAGGTGTGCAAATCCTGTTGGGTTTGCACATAAAAATAACAGATTAATGCTCAAAGTAATTAAATAACATCCTATGCATACTTAGCAATACAGATAAAAAGTGGTTTATGTTAGTGAGAGCAGGTAATGCATTTTAATAATTATAAGCATTTCTTGCATTGTCTGATATATATCTGTGTACATCCAGCTCAGAGCTTTTATGCAGGATCATTTCAAACCCATTCACTCTTTCAGAATGAACTGATGAACAGCAGTTTACATCATTCCAGACTTGATTATGTGCATAAAAATCTGGAGCAACTGGACAGGAAAATCTGTGCTGAAATGCTCTGAATTTAGTTTCTGCAGATTAATTTGATTAATCTGACCAACTGATTTATTACATTTGGACCAGATTAGATTCCTGCCAATAGTCAGTAACTAAGATGGCAGCTGATCATCAGGGTTCAAATCATCAACTTGGAAGCAGTGCATGTTTTTATGAGCATTTTTACATCTTATTTATGTTCAAATAACAAAAACACACAGAACTAGAGTTATTATTATTCACATAATCCTAACTAAACTCAGTCTACTGTAAGAGAAATCCAAGACGGGGAAGTTTCATGCATCTTTGTGAAGTTCATATAACAAGACACTGGTGTGTAAGAAAATGTGTGGGAAGTAACATATTTTATTCAACATGTATGTTCTCTAAATAACATGGACGCATTGAACACAGCTGTACAGCGGCTTTTTCTTGACGAAATCTGGCCTCTGGCATTCCAAAAAACCTCAGCTGCTGAATAAATATGAGCAACCGCAGCTAGCGAAAAGCAAAGACACAAAGCAACATTTTTAGCGCTTAGTTTAGTACCTGATGAGCCCCTCACTGAGGTTTGTGTTTACTATTTAACCTCCAGCAGGATAAAAAATCTGTGGCTAATTCTTCTCTCTGATCAAACAGAACTATGCAAAGCTTTCTGGCTCTTTAATTATACCCAACAGGGATTAAAAAGAACAGAGTTGTGAGCAGTGGAGAAGAATAAATGACAAGACAAACTGCTTAAAGTCGTCATTGATGAAGCTCGGTTCAGTAAATGACAGGAAACTGGGAGATGAGATCCAAACAGTTCAGTCTCAGAGAGGGAAAGAAATACTTTCAGATGGTGAAAGCTTTATTTCAAACCATTTGTTTGCAGTTTTCTGCAACCCAACCAAAGCAAACATGTGGAAGAAGGAGCACTGCTCTCTGAAACTAAATTATTGATCTTAGCACGCTAGTATCGATCATATTCGAAGAACATCCTTTAAGCAAACCTCCAACAAGCTTTTTTTGTTTTATCATGCTGCCAATCTGGATTATCAGTAGAAATATACTACGGGAACAATTCTTTATTCCAAACTCCTCTTCACTTGATGCAAAGCCGCTGCCTCTAAAACTGCATAATTACGCGCTCCAGAGAACAATAAAAACTTACTGTTGCTAAGAATGAATGTCACAGTGGGATTATCTGGGTGGAAGTGTGCTTGTGCATTAAACCAGGACCTCTGCCACATTTTTGCTCTTGTGTTAATGTGGCTGAGCAGCAGTCGGAGTGGGAGTGTACACTTTTTGTAAATTAGAGTGACACTGCGCCTCATTGCAATAATCATCTGTTTTCATCGGCTCCAGCCTGAGTGACTGCATCTTAATCACCAGAGATAAAAACTGCAGCAGCAGCCAAACAATGACAATTCTGTGCTGAAAACAGATAAGGCAGAATCCAGCTTGTGGACTGTTTGGCAGATTTTGCTGGGATTTTCTTCGGCACGACGCGACAGGAGATAAACACCTTGCAGTGACAATAAACTGCATCATCATTCCCTGCAAGCCGTGTGTGCAGACAACAAATACACGGCTCACCACCATCAAACAGTGGGACACAGGAGCTAAAATTACATAAAGCGCCTTGAACATACACACAACTCTAATAGCCTGTTTCCCATCATAAAATTGGGATTTGCTCCTTTTTTTGTTGAGCATTCAGGAGGAGAAAAGCATCTGCCTGGAGGCAAACGGGACAACATGATCTCCCCCAGTCCATGGGGAGCAATTAAGACCGCGGACTTGCTGAACTCACCTCTGCAAAAACAATCCCACCATGAGGAATAGAGTCACCTGAGAAAGAAAAATAAATCCTCGTGAGGAAGAATTGAATGCTGGAGCAGGGGGAGGCTGTATGCTTATACAGCAAAACAAGAACTTACAGGAATCCAACATAGAAGAAGAAGAATTCATCATCTGAAGGCGATGGCGCTGAGAGAATGACAGAAAGCAATTATTAAGAACGATTCTGTGCAACAATCTGCTCAATATGAAATCAAATTACAGAATATTACCGAATTAAAACCTTCAGCAACAATTGTTTTAAGATCACACATAGAGAAAAACT